TACCACTTGTCTTGACTAAATGATATGCCTCTGCCTTCTCTGCCTTTGGTAGATTTGGAACCAAAATTTAGAAGTTCCTTTCAGTCTGTTATTAGATTTATGGTGCAGGCCTTATTCTGCTGTCATCAAATATATGATACAAATGTGTATGTGTATGTATATATGATAATGGCTGATGTATTTATACTACTTGTGTTTAACTTTTTCAGTGGAATTCAGCATTTTTAAACCCATGAAGTATGTGAAACTTTTTTATTAGATTTGCCCTTGTATCAGTACATTTTGTGTTGCTATAACAGAAATACCTGAGACTGGGTAATTTATAAAGAACAGAGGTTTATTTGGCTTACAATTCTGGGACAGCTGCATCTGGCGTGGGCCTCAGGCTGTTTCTACTCATGGCAGAAAGCAGCAGGCAGCCAGTGGGTGCAAGCAGATCACATGGCGAGAGGGAGCAAGAGAGAGAAAAGAGGTGCCAGGGTCTTTTAAACAACCAGCTCTGTGGGAACTAATAGAGCAAGAATTCACTCATTAATCCCCCCTTCCCCAGGGAGAGCATTAATCCATTCATGAGGGATTGACCCCCATGACTCAATCAGTTTACAACACTGCTGCATTGGGGATCAAATTTCCTCATGAATTCTGGAGGGAACAACACATCCAAACTCCATTAGCCCTCAAATCTTTAATTTGATTTTTTAATTGGTGATAGTAGCCAGTTCTTAGATTTCTTATTGTGGAACTGATAGATGTTTTTCTTCTTTTTCACAGAGAATTTTGTCTAAGGAGTATATACTAGGGAACTTCAAAAAGTTTGTGGAAAATGGAATTAAAAGATAAAAATAAAAAATATAAACTTTATTTCTCAACATAAGCTGCATCAAGTTCAAGACACTTGTAAGCAATGATACCAGCCAGGTAGTTCATCTCTGAAGAACTGAACATCCTGGGAGTTTAACCATATCAGTGCAATCTTTTTTATATAATTAACCAAAGAAAAACGGGGGCCCTTTAAAGATTTTTTAAGATTCAGAAACAAAAAAGAAGTCAAAGGAGCCAAATTAGCACTATAAGGTGGATGCCTACTGATTTCCCATCCAAACTCTCACAAATTTGTTCTTGTTTGATAAGAGGAATAGCAGGGGCATTGTCATAGTGGAAAAGAACTCTCTGGTGAAACTTTCCCAGATATTTTTCTGTTAAAGCTTTGGCTAAATTTCTGAAAACATTCTCATAATAAGTCAGTGTTATCATTCTTTGGCCCTCTGGGAAGTCAACAAGTAAAATGCCTTGAGCATCCCAAAAAACTTTTGCCATGCTCTTTACTCTTGACTGATCTTTTTTTTGCTTTGACTGGACCACTTCCACTTGTTGGTAGCCGTTGTTTTGATTGTGATTTGTCTTCAGGATTGCACTGATAAAGCCATGTTTAATCTTCTGTTATAATTCTTTGAAAAAATGCTTCAGGATCTTGATCTCACTTGTTTAAAATTTCCATTGAAATTTTAAATGTTTCCATGTTCCAGTTTGCAGCTGATCTAGGCATAACAGGTTTGGCACCCATTGAGTAGAAAGTTTGCTCAATTGTAATTTTTCAGTTAGAACTGTGTAATCTGAACCATTTGAAGTGTCTATAGTGTTGGCTATTGTTTCTGCTGTTAGTCATCCGTTCTCTTCAATTACAGCATGAAAAAGATTAATGTTTTTCTCATAAATCAGTGTAGATGGTCTGCTGCTGTGGACTTCATCTTCAACATGGTCTCATTGCTTCTTAAAATGAGTTATCCATTTGTAAACTGCTGATTTCTTTGGGGTATTGTCCCCATAACCTTTTTGTGAAGCATCAATCATTTCACCGTTCTTCCAGGCTTCACCATAAATTTGATGTTTGTCGTTGCTTCAATATTAGCAGAATGCACATGCTGTGATAAGGGCTCTTTTCAAACTGTCTTGTTCTTCTTAATGCCTTGAACTAGTCTGTTCAAACATGTTATAGCAAGTTAGTATGAGTTCATTTTGTTGCAAAAAATTTTGGAAATCCATGTATAGTTTTTTCATAATATGCATTTTTCCATGAATTTTTGAAGACTCCTTGTATAATAAGTGTTTAGCTGGGATGTAAATTTAAATCATTTTTTTATTTGCAAAGCACTTTGTATATTGAGAAAAGCCCCTATTGCAAACTGAAGAGTTATCATATCTAGTAGCAACCTTAGATACTCAGATTCATTTGTATGATTTAATAAACTTGTATAATATCATAAGCTCTTATTAGTAGCAACCTAAGACATTCAGATTTATTTGCTTAGTTTTCTCATGATTTAGAAATCAATGTGTGTTTTTCTGCATTCTAATTGTGAAACAGTCCCTTATATATTTGGAAAAGTTTAGTAAACAATGTGTTCTATTTTGATATCTAGTGACTCTTAGGTTGAATGGTCAGTAACCTGATATTTCTCTGTCTATCCATTTATTTTTTAGTGGTGGGAAGGACAGCTGTTATAATATGATGCAATGTGTTGCTGCTGGGCATCAGATTGTTGCTTTAGCAAATCTAAGACCAGCTGATAACCAAGGTAAGTGTATGCCTTTATGGGAAGTTCTCTGACTGAAAATCCAACTTCATAATTGCATGCTATTATATGTAGTATGCAAAGGTAAAAAAGAACCAGTATATATTTAGCACCTATTTGATTAAAAGTTCTGCATAGGATTTAACATTAAATGTTTTCACTTACATATCCTTTAATCCTCATAAAACCTAGAGAGAGGCATTATTACTTTTACTTTTAATAGACAGGGATAATGAAGCTCAGAGTTTTATGAGTTTGTCCAAAGTAAAGTGGCTGGCACAAACTTGCAGAGCTGAGACTTGAACCTTCTTACTTCTGAGTGTGCTGCCATTCCACCACACCACATTTCCAAGTGTTGCAGGAAGATAAGATACAGTATCATGCTTCAAAGAGCTTCGGAAGTAAGATGTATATTGACAAAAGATAATATATAAAAGTATGTAGTTTAGGTATCTTAGATGTAAGCCAAACATGTGAGAATCATGCTTCAAAGAGCTTCGGAAGTAAGATGTATATTGCCAAAAGATAATATATAAAAGTATGTAGTTTAGGTATCTTAGATGTAAGCCAAACATGTGAGACCGAAAGAAGAATAAAGCAATATGTCTGTACTTTCCATTTGTCTATATTAACAAGGACATCCACATGTAATCCACAGACCTCATTTTGGCTACTTTTCTTAGTTTTCTTCTCAGTGAAATTTCTCCAGTTTGAACATTAAAAGAAAGAAATATATTCACCAATTTGCTTTTTATATTCTTTTGCTGTGCCTATATAACTATAGATATTAACTGCTAAACTATAACAGGGAGAAAAGATTAGCCCTTGTTTATGTATTACTGCTTCTCCATGTGGCTTTTCTAGTAAGATCTATTTAGCATCCCCTTTACTTAACTTCTTTCCAGGATCCATGCTTTTGCTCTACTGTTATCTTAGGATGAATTAAATGAGTACAGTATGTGAAAACAGTATGTGAAATTAGAGTTCTTGACGTGAAGTAGGCATCCTGTAAGTTTCGTTGAAATGGGATATAGCACTAAATATTTCCCTTCCTTACTTCCTTTCGGCTGTCAGTCTACTGTGTTTTTATTTTTATATCATTTTCCAATTGTTTTCTATTAATTTTGTCTTTGTTTTATATCCCTGAAAAGATTGGTTATAACCTTTTCGAGAGAAGAGATTGTAACTTCTATCTTCCTTTAATTGCTCCTCAGCACTTGGGACAGCTCTGTGCCTCTGGTATTTCCCTCAAAGTTTATTGGTGGACCAATGAATAATAAACTCATTGGAATTAGTCCTGAAAAAATGAACAGTTATGTCAGTCAGATATTTGAATTTTCTTTTCTTCTGTGATTAAGGTTCAAGTTATGCTGGAAGCAATGTAGATAAGAATTTAGAAGTATTTTAAAGAAATAGAACAGGTCCTGTGATAAATGCCCACCCTAGGATTTTATTCTGGGATCCTGATGATGAGGAATAGCTGGTTTTTTACAAGTGAGGTTTTTTGACAGTGGCCTTCTAATTCCAACTTTGAATAAGAAAGAAGAAACTCTTTGATGGAGAGTAGGAACTGTTTTGTAACATCTGTATTATAAAAGAGTGTACAGAATCTCCTTTCAGGCTTATGCTGTTACCAAAGGAAAGAAAATCCCTTAGCCATTGCGGCCAGTCAGGCAAGTGGGTCTTTTAAGCTTTCTATCTTGATAGGTCTTAAGTATTTAAAAAGTAGATGTTTATATATATATATATA